CAAGGCCAACAATGACAAATTATTCAGGCTAGTCCTGCTAGAAATTTTCAAGCCAGTCCAATTTCTATACGCTCAACTAAGCCCACTTTTCATCAAAAAAAAAAAAAAGTGGAACGTGTGGGAGAAGAAAAGCCGGTTGCCAGTTACACAATTTCAAAAGAATGCCCCCAAATTTAAACCGTAAATGCTAAAAATCAAAGAGAAAGAAGACCCCAAAATCCAATCCCCGCAACCACAACCCACCCCTCAACAAATGAAATGCAAAGATGACGAACATGATAAAAAGGGAGAAAACTCACATGAAGTGAGTGACTGCATTCTTCTTTTTTTTTTGGCCAAAAACTTAGGTGCCTGCATTCAAAATCCGACAAAAGCAAGCAAGTCAGCTGAGAGAGGCGACTTGGCTAATTCAAATGCAAAGGCAAGAAAGAGAGAGAAGAGCGGAGCAAGTGAAAGGCCGAGAGCCAGGGGCGAGAAGCGCCGTGCGTGAGCAAGAGCCCTAAATTTACCCATATAATTTAATAATACTTATAAGTATCTTAGATTAAATAAAATATATTTTAATTAAATAATTTAGTAATTTTTTTAATTTTTTAAATTAATTAATTGATTCTTATATAAAGTACTGGATACAGTGATAAGTTTGAAAAAGAAAAAAAATATAATACTTGAGATGGGACGAGATAGCGTCCTGTGTTATATCTAGAAATTTCATAATTAAGAGTAAGGAAATCCTCCGACATTTAAGGGTCAGAATAGTGAAAGAAATATGAAAATTTCAAAAAAAAATTCCTAAAAATGATGGAAGGTAGAAAAAGAGTCCCTGAATAATATTCTAGGCCAAAAAAGTTGAGATTACAATGGAAAGCAATAATTATTGAGTTTTCAATAATAATTGAATATTGACTAATAAGGAAAAATTAGTCAAAAATAATTATAGAAAAAATATTTTCAAGCCCAAGAAAATTAAGAAAAAATAAAAATAATATTATTTGAGAATTGTACGATGAGGTAGAAGTGATTTTATGCCCAAATTACCCTTAAAGGGAATTAGGCCTATATTGCGTTTTATTTGAAAAAATTCCAAATAAATATGTGGAAGGAAAATAAAATTCCAAGAAAATTTATATAATATCCCAAGGAATTATAAGGGATTATGGGATTAAAAAGAGTCTTTTAAATGTCCAAGATATTTCCAAATTCTCATGACAAATAGAGAAATCCTTGTGAAAAGGAAAATAGTTTTTCTTTTTATATAATTAGTAGGAATTTGAGATTTTAGCAAAAGAGGACATTTTGGGAAGAGAAAAATAAGAAAAATGGAATATGGATCTGACAGAAATTAATTACAGAGGTTAGAGTACTGTAATTATAGAAGAGAAATTAAACTCAAAACAAAAGTGTACCGATAAAGCAAGAAGTAGAGTCTTGCACTTTAAATGGCCCACATTTTGTCAAGTGGCAAGCCACCAATGGAAAGAATTTAAAGTTGCTAAGTGTCAAGCCCCTAATGGAGATGATCTTGACTTTTGAAATTAATTACATTTGGAATTAAGTTAATTAAGAAAGAAGTTACAAGATGGTTTAGGAAAGTGACACTTAGCATGATATTAATTATGATAGTTGAGATATTTTGGCATTAAATAAACACACTCCTCCCTCTTGCAAGACCACTCTTTTCAGCCTAATGAAGAGGAACCCTTGCCATTTGATTTCTTGAGTTCAAATAAGGGAAAAATAAGCTACTTTAATCTAGCAAGTTAAGATCCAAGGTTAGTAAGTTGTTTCATTGTAGTTCTTGCTTGTTTTTCTTGAGTTTGATGGTTGAAAATTCTGTTCTTGCCCTTGGTTGATGCTAGCCGAATTGATCAATGGTTAAAGGAAGGAAGTTTTGAAATTAAACAGAGTTAAAATATTTTGATTTAAGATTGTTTCAAGTGATTTTAGGATATTATTTGAAAGATCTTATGGTTGGTTTATAAGGGGAACTGTTTAGTCACTTCAAGAACTATACTCTAGGATGAGTTTTTTTTTTATAGTTTTGATACTTCCATTGTGTGTAAAATGAAAAATGGTGTAGGATAAACCTAAAGAACAAGCATTGGAAGTATTAGAACTAAAGTTGTAATTTTTGGAGTTTAAACCCCTATGTTTCGGCCAACCTTAGTTTTTGAGGAAAGAAATTTCTTTTCATAAATCTAAGTCCATATTTAGATTCTACTTGAAAAATCAGATATGATTGACCCAATAAAGAATTTTTAGGGTTAAGGAAAATAAAGCTCCAAAATTCAAAGTTTAAGAAGTTAAGGGTTACTTAGTTATTGCCTTTGTTTTTGTGTATTTTGGTTTGTAATGTGGCTCCCCCTATTATGGATTGTGAGGTTAGGGCTTGATATTTGTGGAGAAGAGGAAGAAGATCAAAGAACCAAAGAGCTTTTGGAGCAAGATAATAAAACCTAATTAACTACTAATGCTGACCTTGCATTGTTTATTATGACATGAATGCCTGTTATCATGTGATTGAACTATGATGATTGTAATGTGGTTGCTCCTTGCATTTTGTTGCTTTGGTTATTGCATGTTGAGGTTGCCTTTTTATGAGAGGATTAGTTCTCCTATGGTAGCTAATGTTGAAATACTTTAATGATTATGCTTGTTTGATGTTGTGGTTGATAATTCTTAATATTGGGATTTCATTGAAATCTCATCCCTCCTAGATGTAATCTAACATTTTAGGGGCTAAATCATCCAAAATAAAGTTGCAGATTCAAGGTTAATTATGGTGTTAAACCATATAAATCATTTGACTTTTGGTTATGTATTATTATGTTACATGGATGCTTTAACCCTAAGCAGACTATCGACTTGGGGCTGCATTTTGATTAAGTTACCAGATGAATTTAATCACGAAATTTGGTATGCTTATAGATCATATCTTGAGCTTCAAATTGATAGATAGCAAGTTAAAATTGGACAACTGTGCGATTTTTGGTGATTTTTCAAAGTTATGGTTCTAAATCTGGAAAAAAGGATTTTTACTAAAGTAACAGTGGTAAGTTTCCAAAAATTCTGGTACTAATTCAAAAGGAATTGGTTTATAAGATTATTTTCCATTGAAAGAGCATTCAAATATCTTTCTATAAAATTTGGAACCACTCCATTTTGATTTTTTTAGATTAAGTTATGAATTTCTGAAGTTAGAACAGAAAATATAGAACTTACAGAGTAAACAATGATTTTACGAAAATTAACATCTAGATTGGAATTTTTTAGTTTAAAACTATCCAATATGGTCAGAAATAGTTCAAAATGAACTCTAAGGTATCCTAGAAGTAAGGTGTAACATCTTGTCCCAAAAAATTTCGAGATCAAATTATTTTGTCTCAATATGATTTGAACTAGGACAAGCCAATTAGAACAACCCTACAAAAAAAAAACCCTTAACAAAAAAACTTTAGGGGGCGTTTGGGTGATGACCCAAACCATGGTTTGGGGAAAAATCACCCAAACACCATAAAAAAAAAACCAAAATCATGGTTTTGGTAGAAGCAAAAATTTTCTGCTTTTGGGAGAAAGAGGGAGAGTGTGAGAGCCTATGGGATATGTGCCTTGTTTTTTTTTTGTCCAGACGCATATACCCTTCCCAATTATTCATCTCTTTCTCATTGTTTCAGATAGAGCACAGGGGAGAGCTTGAGAGTAGATCTCAATAATAATATGACTTTAACACCACTCAATTATTTTTTTATAAATATATTTAATCTTATATCTTATAAATATATATACATATATTAATTATTTATTAATTATATTATCTTATGTATTATTAATTATGTTGATAAAAATATATTATTAATAATTTTATTTCTTCAAATTAAAATATATCACAAAATTTATTTTTTATGTAATTATCATGTTAACTTATGCTTTTTTTATTAATTTGTATATATAAAAAGTGCTTCTGATAACAACTATCCAAACACTCACTTTTTCATAAAATCTATTAATCTATTCTCCTCAGAATATATTCTTCAGAAGCTATTCTCCAAACCATGATTTGGTTTTATCCAAGCACCCCCTTAATTTTAATGCATAATATGTAAGATATTTATTCTTGGTTTACCCCTTTTATTTTACAATTTTGTCCTTCATTTTTTGGCATAATTTTATGCCTCAAGGTTAAAATTATAAGAACAAAGATTAGCGGTAAAATTGTGCCAAGAAATAAGATCATAATTAAAATTACACACTTATCCTTTATTCTTTCAAGTGCACCATATCTTAATTATATTCAAAGATTCTTTTGGTCAAAAATTATATTTAAAGATTAAAACCTTGATCATTATTCAAATTCTACTTAAAATGCAAGGGATGTGAATAGACATATCCTTTTAAAGATATTGTTGATGATGTTAGACTCTTAATTCATAGGGATTGGAAGGTTATGCTAATTCATAGTTTTAGAAAGTCAATCCCTACTGTTGATTATCTAGTTAAGATCTCTCATTATATGTAGAGCAGCTTCTGTATCATAAATCAACCGCCCCACATTGTGGAAGGGGAGATTGAGAGAGGAAACAAGGACTTGTTTTGTACTAGTGTTATTTTGCAAAGAACTTAGTTTTTTATTCAAAAAAAAATTCTACTTGAAATTTTCCATTTAGTTGGCTTCTGTTAGCTATCATCAAGTTCTTTTTCTTTTAAAATAAAAATTGAACCCTTAAATTCCTCATTGATACATTAGTCACGAACATTTTGGGTGAAAAATCACAACTATTGATCTGGATTAAAATGAAAGAATTTCTATCAAATATTTAGATTTAAATCTTAACCCTCATTTTCTTGGGGAGTTTAATTTGTGTTTGCTTTTTTTTTTTTGTTGCCTTTTTTTCCCTGAGCTGAGCAGCTCAAATTTGGGCCGACGAAGCCCAGATTAAAGCCCAGTGAAAGGAGCACAACCATCCCTTGCTCCGTAGATCAATTCCGTCGACCGGTACGAAGATTGACGATGCTCTGCCTCTGTGAGTATCCTTCCCATCTCTCTCCTTGACACCGTCTATGGAGTGAAAGAAATAGTGGTGTACGTGACACTCTAAGCATCTGTGCTTGAAAGTGTTCTCATGTAAGTTTATTGTTTGTTTGGGTTCATTCTCCAGGGACTCAAGAATCAAACCAGTAACACTAGAAACCCTAGAAGTATGCATCGTTTTCTCTCTTTCGTTCGCCATGCGAGTCGATCTTATTCTGCTCCGTCTCTGCCTTTTGAGGCCAATCGTTCAGTTCGAAGCTCTGTCAGTTTAGGAACTCTGAGATCTTATGGATCCCCGGGATCTGCAAGCTTGTACAAGTGCTTCTCAGGGCTACTGCAAAGCAATGGTAACTTTTAATCCTGTTTTGAAGGCAAATTTTCGACGTGAACTTTGAGACTTGAATAAATTAGCCGAAACTTACCCTATGTGACCACCGAGAGTTGAGGAAATGGAAAATTATTGGAGACTAAGAAAGCTTACGAGCTCACCTTTTGTTTTCTATTGAATAATGGCCTTTGTGAGGGGGTGATTTTTATTTGGGGGCCAATGGGGCATGGGACAAGGCTAGGACTTAGATCGATTTGCAGACTCGGTAGCAGACATTTGAGCTTTGCCTTTAGTTGGTATTTATTGATATCTCTTTTCTGGAATGTGTTAGGAATGAGAACGGGGGTTTGTTAGGATAATGATATGCTTTTTTATTTTTTTATGGTGGCTTTATGATTTTCATTTGCCTGAATTGGCTGTTTAAATTTTAGATTGAACTATTTGAGATTAACCTCTATGAGCTATAGATGGTCATGTCCAATATGACACAACATTTCAATTTCAAATTACTTTTAAACACCGTATTTTCTTGTGGGGAGGGGGAGTTATATATTGAGTACTGTCTTGATGTTCAGATTGTGTCTTAAATCTGTTCAAGTTTTCCTTCTTCTTATCACATTTAATTTACCTTTTATGTAGTGGTTAATTTAGATTTCTAAAGGCGTGAAATTAGGAAAACAGAAGTTGTCACTCGTTATTTTGCTTGCGAATAATCTATCCACAACATAAGTGTTTTCTGCACATGATTGGCTGATGGGTTTTACTTGATTTTTTGAAACCGCAGAACATGTTAGAGGATTTTCAAGCATGAATCCAGGGTGGAACATTTTGAACAAAAATATTAATCCTCCCCGTGGCTTTAATCCGGACTCTCAAAGAAGTGTAAACCCCCTTGGCGTGAATGATTCTGAGACGAAGACGAGTTCCGCCCCAATGGACTTTGTGAGAAGAATTATAGAGACAGATGGAAAGGGTGTTATGGGGGGTCCTGAAATCTCTGGGTATAATTTAGACCATGAACATGATGTTGTTCATATAAAGCTGTTGCGTAACAATACCTTTGTTACTGTGACGGATTCTAAAGGAAATGTAAAACTTAAGTCCTCAGTTGGGTGTTTGAAAGACATGAAGGGAGGGCAAAAGCTTGCCAGGTATGCTGCTGAAGCTACAGCTGAAGAAGTTGGAAGAAGGTCTAGGATGTTGGGATTGAAATCTGTTGTTGTTAAAGTGAAAGGATTTACTTATTTTAAGAAGAAGAGGCAAGCAATAGAGAGCTGGAGAGAGGGCTTTACTAATTCTCGAGCAGGTAGAAATCCAATTATAGGTGTTGAAGATACTACTCGAATTCCTCATAATGGCTGCCGGCGCCCAAAGAAGCGACGTATTTGATTAATTTTATGAAATATTATCTGCAAATTAGTGTCATAAATTCTCCAGAACTTATGCTAGATGCTGAATTTATCATGAATATCCATTTAATTTTGATGTTGAATTCCAATATACAAGTTTTGTTGGCATCTCTTGTTTACAGTTTGTACAATACTGATGGATAGCTCTACTGTAAACAAAATTTCTGTAGAAGTCATTTTTAAGATGAAAAAAATGATGATGAAATTGAAAATTTTAGTATTTTCTTATTTGAAATGCAAGGTTGTATAAACGTACATATTTTAGGACAAAACATCCTTGCATTGGGAGGTTGAAACCCTGCATTTTCCCCCCTGAAAAATTTCTATTGTCAGATCATCTAAAATGCGTGGATGATAATTAAAAGGTTATATTCAATAAATTTCAGTGAAATTATACTATAGGAGTTTGCTTTTACAATTGATTGTCTGGCCATTAATTCATAAGGAAGATTCAACTACCCTGCTATGGAATTTAGATAGCCCTAAAAGTTCTGCCAACCGAATTAATTCATAGCCAGCCTCAACAGCCTTGGGGTGAGCATAAGCCAATTTTCCCCCCAAATTAACAACATACCTATGCAGTGTTTGTTCATGACATAGAATACACACAATTTCAGAAACGATAACAATTTTTCTGGGGTAAACTGAAACGTACAAATTATTCCTAACTCGCAGACACTTGCAATAAAATACAAATTATTCCATATATATGTGTGTGATCCCCCCCCCCCCAAAAAAAAGATTTACTCATATGATGCTCTTCAATACCTTGATGGCATTGCAATTAATAATAGCTTTGCAAAATTCAGTTGCATGTGAACTTGTGGCTGAATTTGCTGACCCAAGCTGTAGTGTGTCATCACCAGAACAGGTTTTCTCTTAACGCTATCAATTGCAATATACTGAATTTACTCTACCTCGTACAAGCTTGAATGATATCAAAGAATTTTCAAAGGTTTACATGGGCTTGAGGAGAAAACATTTCATGCTTATTAAATTTAGACCATCCAAATTGATGCTGGATGGTTTGGATTTGATTTAAATCTTTGTAATGTTTTAAATTATTTTTTATTTCAATATATACAAAATTTGAAATAAAGATAATATTATAAGCAATACTTCTTTGAAAAATAAATTTATCACCAACGAAACTGTAAATTAAAAATTTTAAATATGAATTGTTCACGTTAGAATAGTGTAGCAGCACAACGAACCGTGTATTCATAACTGTTATGGACACTGAATGAGGATCTGGGTTTATGGCTTTTATGTTCCTTCCTCTAATTTAGCATTGGCATAGGTTTATACAGGGGATGTTGAATCAAGCAAATAGCTAAGACATGAGCGCCATAATCAACGTTGCTTCGCAAAAGAAGAGGGGGGAAAAAACTTAAAAGTCTCTGTTTGGTTACTGGAATACATGGGGATGGGAAGGGAATCGATATTAAAGTTCCAAACAAATTGGGCAGATAGAAGGCAAGGAATCTTGATGGTCATGGCAGCCGTGATTCATTGAAAAGTAGAGTGTGAGTATTTAAAAATGAGACGAGTGAAGAAACTCTGATACTTCAAACACCCCCCCCCCAAAAAAAGAAAAAAAAAAAGGAAAACCTTGATGGTTATTCAATTTTCTGTTTGAGCTGATTGATTTTTGCTAGCTATCGTCAAGTTCTTTTTTATTTTAAAATAAAATTTTAACCTTTAAATTCATTATCAATATCATCTTTACTCGTCAACGTAAGAGTCAGTTAGAAAATAAATTTGATTCTAAATATAAAACCTCAAACTATTTCATCTCAAAAAATTTTAATTTTTTTTTAAAATATCTCTATTAATTATAAGAGATTCCCACCGAAGAATAATTCTAACACACATCATTAAAAAAGATAGTTGAGGAAAATTAACACATCTTGTTAGTACAACTAATCAACTTAGCTAATTTTTTTAATCTTTTCAAATTAGTTATGTACTTTTTATATTATTAGAGTTATGATAACTAATTTAGTTAAAAATGTTTAGTGGCACTGAGTTATGCGTACCTCTTTATAAATAAGGGCCAATGTACTCCATTATTCATTAAGAAATAATATTCAGATTTTACTCGAGTTTCTCTCTTCTTAATTAAGTAGCCGAGGTAGTGACAATTTGTCACTACTTTATGGGTCAAAAATCACAACTTTTGATATGAGATTAAGTGAAGAGAGAATTGTAATCATGTCCCAAAAAATAAATATAATTACTAAAAAGCCTCAATAATAATTTAAACAGTTTATAATAACAAGTTTTAGAGTAGAAAATGATAACTTCTAAATTATTATGGGGTCTTGTTGATAGTTTTTTTTGTGGAACTTTATGGTAATTCTCTCCAAAATGGAAGAATTTCTATTAAATCTTCACCGCCATGTTGTTGGGGAGTTTAATTGGTTTGTTGGTTTTCTTATTAGCCGTGAAGCTTAGATTCGGGCCATCGAAGCCCAGATTGAAGCCCAGTGACAGGAGGACCATCAACCACCCATTCATCGTTACGGAGTCCGAAGATCAATTCCGTCGATCAGACAACCAGTACGGAGTACGAACATTGGCGAAGCTCTGCCTCCGTGAGTATCCTTCCCATCTCTCTCCTTCATTGGTTTTTCTTATTGCTTCGTGAAGCCCGATACAATTCCGAATACAGATTCGCTTAATGTGTTTTCCTTTTTTTAGGAACCAATAAATTGTTAACTCTTTGGCAGTTCCTCCCCAATCAATTCCGCTGATTTGCTTGTCTTTGTTGATTTCCATTTTTTCAGGTAGGGTTTCTCCGAGTTAGTAATTTCTGTGGGTTTTCTTTTCCTCTTTTGATTCTCTCCAAGAAATGGCGTCAAGTCTGTTCAAGACACTCGTCCAATCATCCAAATTCTCGTTAAGCACAAGAAGTCTAAGCCTTGTGAGTGGTCAAATCAGCGAACACACCGCCAAGTGGATGCAGGTAATCATCCTTGACAATCATTTATTAGGATTTTTCTAAACTGCTCCACTGATAAGCCTCTCTATATTGCTGTGTATTTGTGAATCGTTGCTGTCTGAAAGTGCTGATCGTTTCATCTGGTTTCTTTTAATCCCATATAACTGTATAAAATATGGCGCTTGAAGCCCCGTGAAGTCTAATGTTTGAACATGTCCTTTGAGGTGAATATTTAATGGCCTCGTTTTTATTAAAAAGCTGGTAAACATTCTACCAATTGAACGTAAATAAAGCTAATACACGTTGGATGTGAAATGAAGGGAAGATGTCATTATATATTTATATGGTTTGGGTGAACCAACCCTGTCTATGGAGTGAAAGAAATAATATGTCCTTGGCGTTCTAAGCTTTTTGGCTTAGAAGCGTTCTCATGTGGCTTGATTGTTTGTTATGAGCCAAACAGCCAAGCCGCCAAAGCGACCAATATTGTCTTTTTGTTTCTTACAATTGAGTAACTGAGGCATAGACTTCTCTTAATAATGAACTTCTTTCCTTAAGCTTGTTTGATGCCTTTATGTGATGGCGACTGAATGTTATGTCACATGCGTAGCATATATCCTGTATTGGCAATATGTTTCAAGGACGAGATGATGAATTAGAGATCACACGCAACAGCTTGTTAGGCTGATTAAAAAAACTGGTTTTAGCATTGAACACAAATTAGGCGAGTCACTGCTGCGTGCCTGCAAGCTTATGTTGGAAGCATAATTTAGAGTGTTTTATTATGAATTGCACTAGAAGAATTTAGGCTCTAGTCATTGAAATGAAAGAGGATGGACTGTTTAGAGTTTAGATGGTGTAGTCACCTACAAGTGTCATCGTGGGACGGTATGACACCAAATAAAGCGCCTTTCCTCGAAACATCGATGGTGTGGCAACTTCTTTCTCGTGGTGCTATGGCATCTTCTATTGGTCTGGTGGCTGTTAATAATGGTGTAATTAGGGGTTGCTGGATTTTGTTTTTTCATATTTCAATTCTTTTTTCCCCAAACCAACCAATGGGCTTGTAATTTTGAGGGGCATGAGGATTATTTGGCCTTATCTGGTCAAATTAATTCTAGAAAGACCAGAAAAATAATGCAGTAGGAACTCTGCAAACTGGCACAATTCTTTGTTGAGTGATTTCTTTCTTGAGAGTGAAACCAGTGCCCATGTTAAGATACATACATAAAGGTTACTAAATATATCATTTGAAGAGCTTGATATTTCAAGAGATATTATTAGAAGCATTATGATTTTTTGCCCCCCTTTTGTTGTCTTTTTGTCTTTTTAATTACATTTTGCACTGCTGTGTGATACAAGTTTTTGTATTTAATGCAATAAAACTTCATTTTGATGGCAGAGCACTTGTAACATAATGGATTGACTTAATATTCCTCTCACTGAGAAAAAAGAATTGAATTGAAAATTGATTACAGTAGCATTGAAATCTAATGGGTCCCTTGATTAGAAAAGGAAACCAAAAAAAAAAAAAAAAACTCTTGGTGGGATAATTAAGTGTTAGTGGAAAAGAATGAAAAAGAGTCCGGAGGGTGAGGAATGTGTGTGGCTTCGTGGTGTGAGTTTCTGGAATCTAGTTGGTAATGGCCAATGAAGAGGAGTCTAGAGGGTGAAAGTCTATCATTATTTTTTGTGCGTTTTCATTTCTTCTGTTTCTGCTATTTTGTGTGTCTGGCTACTGTATTTCTGTTACGTAGGAGCAGCTATATTAGAGGTACTGATCCTTTGTTGCTATTTTCTCGGTCATGAGACTAGATACAAACATTTTCTCGAGTTCTTTGTATGAATTTTATCAAAGATCTCTTTGGTGTTATTTTCTCAGTTAGAATATATTTGTATAGGAAAGGACAGTTTCTTTTTGCTATCATATGAAGACTTGGATTACGTCTATTCTTGGGAAAGTTGACATGTGAAGCCATTTTTTGGTTTGTGACCGTCTTTGGGTTCTGTGACCACTGTGAAAGCATAAACAAGTTTGGAACTCGATGTTATGGAATATGTGGACGACCTAATGTTATTTAACAGCAGCATTTCCTTTCAAGTAACTCCAATTGTGTTATCTCTTTCTGTATTGGTATGCTTTGGTTATTCGGGTTAAGTTTCCAGTGTTTAATTCATTACTTGCATGCTGAATGAGCTCTTTTGTAAAACTTATCTTTGTTGCCTTCTTAAATAGGATACGAGCAAGAAATCCCCAATGGAGCTGATTAATGAAGTTCCGCCTATCAAGGTGGAAGGCAGGATCGTTGCTTGTGAAGGAGGTGAAGTCTTCTGCAAATTCTGATATCTTCTTTTCTATCCGGCATCATTCCAATGCTGGATACATGCTGGGAAAACTACATGTCACATAAATCTTCAAATATCCTGGTGAAAAGATATTTATTTAAAAAAAAAAAAAAACCTTTAGTAGTTTCAAAGACTGAAGTTACTACTAGGTTTTAGATGACTTTATGACTTATCAAAGACTAAAGTTACTACTAGGTTTTACATGACTTACTATCAAGTTTTAAGAAAGTAATTATCACATTCTGGGAAGGTCATGGATTAAAGTAACTTCGTTATGATTTTCTTAAAACTTAGTAGTTCCATTTTAAACACCTGGTGTGGAACCCTGTAGTAACTAGTTTTTGAAAATAATTATGATTTTTAAGATCTTTAAACCTAAATTAGTTAAGATGTGGGTCCTTAGATATAATTTTCCGATGTGTGTATACAGACACATATATGTATATATGTATGTATTGCAGTCATTATTTACTGCAGCTAAACTATCACGCCAAAAGTAGGAAGATAACTAATTTGGACACTGCTGTTCATGGTTGCAGACAGCGATCCCGCACTTGGACACCCAATTGAATTTATTTGCCTTGACTTGGATGAACCAGCTGTCTGCAAGTATTGTGGCCTACGTTTTGTTCAGGACCATCACCATTAGGACCTGTGATTGGCAAGTATTATAGGTCGGCACTTTGTGATATTGCCTCATGTTTGAAATTCATGTTGTCTTTGCTTACAATGTTTCTGACTAGTATGATGCTGTGATGATGATGATGATGATGATACTCCTTTGTTAGCATCTTCTGAATAATGAGAATCTTGTTCATGCTTTTAGCACTTGCCTACAACTGAATGTGAAATTATCCATGAATTACATATGCACTGTGGCTGAGACCAAGTGTTGCTTTGTTCGAAAAGAAGCTTTTTGTTTGCCCCCCTGATACTGGAGTTACAATAACATGGACATGGTCCATCAAGCCATTGCGTTTTCGTTATTCCCAACAAAAGAAAAAAGGTTCATTTTTAGAACACTGCAACTTCAAAATCGTAGAAAAACTGAAATTATTATCAACACTGAGCAATGCTAATCAGATATTGCATGTGTTTTCAATAACTTGTTACTACCAATCATCATTCTAATTATTAATGATATCTTCGCTAATTGTAATGTAAGTGGTAAAATAAGGAAAAGGATCTTGAAAGGGATGTAATGATACCCAAGGACATTGACTTGGAAAATAACTTTTCCTCAATTAGAAATGAAATCAATTGCACAATGAAAAAAAAAAAAATAGGTTCATAGATTTGTTTGTAAGCTCCTTGTTTATCATTTTCCCTAATCTTCTAAGCCTTTTCTGAATCGCTATTTATGTTATTTTCAGCTTATTAGAGACACCTGTGTCTCTAGGAATGCAACTTCAGTAAAATTTACACTTTTTCCCCCCAATTCTAATGGCTTCTTCAACCTATATACTTGTAAATTTGATTGAAATTAAGGGTTTGTATTCAATGAAAAAGGGAACTCGATGAAGGATGCAACTTGAGAATGAGTTGAGAGATTTGAAAGTGAAGTTATTATATGCTATCTCCAGTCCTTAATATCTTAACATCATAAGTAGATAATTAATTTGGAGAGATTAAAAAAATAATTAAATTGGTTAATTATAACAAATGAGTGTTATATTTCTTAAACTATTTTTTTTAATCATATAGATTGGAATTATTCCTGATTAATAGTGATATTTTTAAGAAAGTATTATAAATTTAAGAGACGAAATGAAATGAGATTTTATATTTGAGATCAAATTCAATCTCTAACCAATTGTTATATTAGAGAGCATGCAGCATAAATTAGTGAACAGTAAAAGAACTTGGAAGACGAGCAGAATTATTCTCTAGTCTTGTCTTTTTGATTATTTTGGTTTTCACTTTTTGGTTATATGGTAGCGTGGTGTGTGCATGGCACGCTTATGTAGTTGTTGTTCATCATCACAATCCATAAGATTGATTCCATTAATCATTTTATATTCTAATTAACAAGCTTTACTAAAGAAAGAATAAAAGTTACAATTCGTTAACACATTAGTTGATATGATATCAAAGTCTGATGAAAAATATTACCTTTCATGCAATTTCTTTGTAATTCTTGTGCACAATATGTGCAAACTTTTTTATTCCAAATTAACGATAAGCTGTCCATTACAAGCAGAAACCAATACTACTACTAATAATCTTCCTAAACAAACCATCATCCCTACAATACTCGGTATGAAAATCCAACTTGGTTTGGCAGGTTGGACTAGTAAACTAATAAATCAAGTTTTTAATCAATCCGATTGAGAATTTTGGACAAATTGATTGAGTTGGACTTTAAATATTTTTTTTTATTTTATCGTTGAGATTAAAACGACATCGTTTTGAGTTTAAAAAAACAGACGTCCATCATTTTTGTACTTTATTAGTTCTTTTTTGTTGGATTATGTCCGGTTTATATATGAACATCTTATTTAATTGAGAATTAATACATTTTTAATCAAACGTTACTCTTTTCAAAGTTATATATATGTGCGTGAATGTTCTATATATTTTAAGGCTTGTTTGGAATGGCTTCTACAAAGCTTTTTAATTATGAATATGTTTATAAGCACTTAAATAAACCAACTTAAGTGAGCATTTAATTAAATTATATTATTTTAAATAACTAGTTTGACTTCGGATTAATCCCTCTTAAACCTCTTTACTTTTCAACCATTATCTTGATCGGTTCATTGATTGGTATGGTTTTGGATACTTTTATTGGGTTGATTGTAAGAAGTAGTTAACGCTAATAAGTGTCCTTGGGAAATCTGGTGAACATCCTCAGCTAAAACTAAGATTTGACCACCAACGGCAACTTGTCCATCCCTTCAAACACTAAATCTCATCTTCCCATCTGATCACAACCCTCTTGGATGAAACACATTCCTGTTCTGAGTATTGGGAAGACCTTAGAAAAGTGCCTTTATCCAAAAAACACCTTGGCCTACACTTGAAGAAATTTCCTTCTCCCTTTATCCCGTTAAGAGCATTATCCTGCGAAGCAAAGTTACACAAGACGAAATGTTAATTAAAGATAGCCAATACAGCAAAGATGTTTGGAACCTGTGCACTATGAACAGCTGCATTTCTCCTATCCCAGATAATATACAGAATTATAATAATTCCCCATGTTAAATCTATTTAGCCAAGAATTTAGATCTTCTTGTTCAATGACATCAGATTTAATCATCCAGGGAGAAGCGAATCCAAATGCTCCATCCCAAGGGCAAGATAGGAATACATGATCTATGGATGCTTCCTGTAAATTTATAATGTAAGTTCGATTTTCTTTACGAAATATAAGTTTAGGGCTAGACCCTTAGGAAATGGGTCTTCTAGACCTAATTTATAATGGGTTTGTAATCACGCCCATTAGGGCCGACCTAACCACCTTGGCTCTTTTTTTAAGCCTCTTTTTTAATTTTTTCCAACTTTATTTTTTTGGGGAAAAATTACAAAAAAAATCCTTAAAAAAGCATAAAAGGCTCTATTCATAAAAATTGTTGACATTTATTTATCTATTGATATCAAAACCAATACTAGGTCTGTTCGAATGTATTTGTGTGGATGAAAAGCAGTTTTTGAGAGCCAAAAACACGTTTGACATTTTGTGGGGTGTTTAGTTTAGTTTTTGGTCAATTTTGTTTGTAGATTAAAAGCTGTTTTTTTTAGGCGTGATTGCAAAAATACCTGAAATTTACTTATGGCTTATGTAAAAACAGTTTTTAAGAATTAAAAGACATTTCTTTGCTCTTGTGTTTGTGTTTTCCTTATGCTTCTTTTTATGTATTTCTTGTGTTTCCCATCTAATTTTTAATTATTTATTTTTAATTCTTTTTTAAATAAAAATAATTTTTTACATATTTTTATGATATTTTTAATTTTAATATTATTTTTATTTGATATTTACATAAATTATGTAGAGTATATCATCTAATTAATTATGTAATATTATTTGGTTTATAAATTATCACGTTACTATAATTTTTAATTTAAATATATTTTATTTATTAAATATAACGTCTTCCTATTATAATAATTTAAAATTATTATATCATGCACGCTTATAATTTTTTTATTTTTTATTATTTAATAAGAGTCATAAATTTTTTGGTCATTTTATAACTAAATTACTTATTTAATCATAATCCAAACAACTTTCTACTTTACAAACTAACTTTATAAAAATCAATCTAAACAAAAAAATATATTACCCAACCTAATTTTTATCCATAAAAGTCATATTAAAAATACATTATGAGTCTCTATTTGCAATTTTTTAATTTTTACAGTTTTTTTTTGTGATTTTCTTTATTCATAAATTTTTTGGTCATTTACAACTAAACTTATTTATTTAATCATAATCTAAACAAATTTTCTATTTATAAATTAACTTTTACAAAAATCATTCCAAATAACAAATATATTACCCGACCTAATTTTTATCTATAAAAGTCAGATTAAAAACATGTTATGAGTCTCGATTTTTTTTATTTTTTACAGTTTGTTTTTTGCGATTTTCTTTTTATTTTTTTCCCTACAGCCAACTCTTTTTTTTAGCTTCTATTGATTGACGACTACTCATAGATGGTACAGAAATACGTAATGTGTGATGGTTTATTTAACTTCTTTTTAATTTCCTGAAAAACTATTGGGAAATGACAAATGAGGACCTCTGAATTATCAAAATTACAAGAAAGTTGTCTGAATAAGTCAAATTACCAAGAGGATCCCGGTCTCAAATTGTAATTATGAAATCAAGTTAAAAAGACAAAAATAGCCTTCTTATCTTTCTTCTATCACCCCATTCTTTCTCTTTCCTTCTTCTCCTTCTCTCTCTCTTCGTCCTTCTTCCCTCTCCCTCTCTCTCTTTTTGCTTCTATTCCTCTCCATCTCAAAAATAATCATCTCCCACTTATACATTTATCAATAGAATTGAAGTTGTGGCCATTTCCTCAAATCTTTATTACAAAAAAGTTGATGACACATCGTTAATACTAGTTGACAAGAGTAACCAGATTCAAGTTGGAGATAGTATACAAAATCAATGTTGGAGAGGATGAGATTCCAACTACCCAAGACACTACAGGTATATATACTTCACGATTAGCATGGCATCATCTTGGTGGGTTGCATTGTGGTTGCTGGGTTATACGGTGGAAGAGAATAAGATGTGAAATTAATGATAGAAAATGTTAATTGGAAGAGGTTATAGTTAGTTAGAGGTGCACTTATTACTAAATCTTGTAGAAACTGGTTGCTGTCAAAACACTTCTGGTTTTTTGTTATTTGACTTGCCATTGTTGTAATTTTACTTAGTAGTGTTATAACTGTAAATTGGTTAGTTTGATTACAGCAACATAACATGACAATATGAAAATATTGGTATTTTGTTTATGGGTAGAGTAATATTAACATTTAGTATTTATAGTTGTAAATGGTATCAATGTAGATCCATTTAATGTTATGAAATTCATGACACTCGCTCACAGACTTATAATTTTTACCACAGTTGTTATTTGGTTTTCCACTCTTGTCAATTGCTTTTCATAACTTATTATTTGGCTTACTCAAATTGTTATTGGCTAAAGAAATCTGAAAACAATGTTATTTGAACAAAAAATAAATATCATATAAATCGCTTTTTATAATTTGTTATTTGACTTACTCAACTTGTCATTCACTAAAAAAATATGGAAATAAACGAATTTGTAATTCGATATACTTAATTTATCATATAGTATACTTAAGTTATGATTTTTTAAACTCAACTTGTTATTTGCAATAGTTAAGTTGTTATTTGATATACTTATTTTATGTAATATTTAAATTATCATTTTCTAAACTCAACTTGTTATTTAGGATGGTTAAATTGTTATTTGATATACCAAATTTGTTATTGCTATACTAAACTTGTATTAGCTGACAACAGATGGAAGACCAAAAGAAAAAAGAAAAGAAGAGGAAGTCATTATAGATAGTTTCACTAGAAAAATATGGATGAATTGTACATATTGTTATTATATTTAAGATGAGTTTAATATTTTTTTTATTTTGTTGATGACTGACCACTATTATAAATTATTAATGATAGTTATATATTGTTTCAAATGACATTTGAATTTGAGATTATTAAATGTTTCAATTTAAATTATCATTATGTCCACATTTTATTACCAAATAACAAGAGTGGTAAGCCAAATGACAAGGGTAATACGCAAAATAATAATTATGTTATTGGGTTTCTCATGAAATTAAGTTTCATGAAAAATTGTCATTATTTTCACATTTCACTGCCAAATGACAAGAGCGGTAAGTCAAATGACAAGAGTAGTAAGCGAAATAACAATCCTTTCGCTTGATTTCTCATGAAATTAAGTTTCATGAAAAGTTAACATTATTTTCACATTTCACTGCCAGATAGCAAGTGTGGTAAGCCAAATGACGAGAGTAGTAAGGCAAATAACAAATTTGATAAAAAAAAAAATTGTAAGTCTATAACTGGGTTTCTCATAACTTCAAAACATTCAATAGATCTACTTTGTTACCATTTAAAACTGAAAAATACAAAATATTAATATTGTTCTATCCATAAATAAAAGACCAACATTTTAAGAACGTCATATCATGTTGTTACCATCACAATAACAAGTCCGCAGTTACAACATTGCTAGGTGAAATTACAATAATGGTAAGCTCAACAACCAAAAACCAGATGTGCTGTGACAGTAGCCAGTTTCTGCAATTAGCCATTTGAATTCAAAGGATTAAAATCAGCTCCATCACCAGAACTCTCTCTTAACAACAAGCAAATTAAAAAAAAAAATCAAAAATTTGCCAACAGCGGACCACCCAACTCAACCTGCCAGCCTTGAGCAGCTTTCATCTTCCCTATACTCATACCAACCCAGAAAATCAACCAGACCATCTTCAAAATCTTTAAAATATTCAAACCAGTAAACCCTGTAGCTTCTATCAACAGCTTAGAGAACTCAACCTTCTTCTTCTTTGCTAACAGAGAAAACGATCCATAAGGTTGACCCCTGTTGTTCAACAAAAAGGTCGCAATCACTCCCTATTTCAGAATCACAGAAAACTGTCCCCAATCTTCCATTCCTCCGTCACTGATCACCTTCCTGTCTTCACTTGCCGATATCCTACGCAAGAAGTTGCGAAAGCCCTCTTCACCCCTCACGAGACGATTTGCCATGGAGGAGACCCAACGAAGACGCCGCTTCGACTTAAGGAAGAAAGAGAAAGAAGAAGAGAGGGAGAGGAAATCCGAAGAGAAGAAGAAAAGAAGAGGTCTCTCGCCAATATCTGCCTTCGTTATTGAATCTGAGTAACTGAAGGATATTTTAGTCTTTTAGATATGATTTGCTAATTGCAATTTGAGACTAAGTCCTTCCTGGCAATTTGGCTTATTCAGGTAACATTTTTGCAATTTTGGTAATTCAAAAGTCTTTATTTGTCATTTTCCCAAAATTGTTTGACGTTTAAAATTAGGAAAAATGAAAAAAAATCATGAAAATTACAAAACATCAAATAAAGTATTCTTATGTTGTTATTTGCAAGTGTTTTAACAAATCCTGATTTGGAATTAATACTTCAAATTAAGAAATTAAATAAAATTAGTTGGCAAAAAAATTAAATAAAAATTAGAATTAGGGAGGAAAAAAAACCGCCTTTTGCGACGCTATACCCAGAAACCCTACCAAAACCCCAAGTTGCTCACTTCGCTTCCTTTTCCATGGAAGCTAAGCCCTTGGGTGTTTTTCCTCAAGGGTCAAACATCTCCTGAACCCCTTGCACTGCATTTTCCTCCATTTAGCTCGGCAACAGACTTTCCTTTTTACCATTTTCGATTCATTGTTCGAGTCATCATCTTCATCATCATCCATCGAATATAATGGCCAAAACTTACACAGCAGGGTTACTCTCAGCCATGGTGGCCGCAGCTACTGTTTCTCAGAACAACCATGCCTATGCTGATGGTCCTTTCAAATTTCCTTCTTTTTCAGGGTTTCCCTCCTCCTCCAATGTTCCTCAGCCATCTTCTTCCGATCCCCAGTTGCCGCAGGCCGCCAATATTCCTCAGGATAGTCCTCCGCCTCCTCCCAAGGTTCGGAACGATCAGCCGAGGACCTCATCTGCTGGTTTTGATCCAGAGGCGCTGGAGAGAGGAGTGAAGGCGCTGAGGGAAATTTCAAGTTCGCCTCAGGGGAAAAAGGTTGTGAAATTGTGGCTTTTTTTTTTTGTTTTTAAAACGTTGATGATGGAATGCTGGCTTTATTGGACCATTTTCATTCATTTTTTGTTTCTCATTTGATTCTAGAATGTGTCATGCGCAGCCATAGCTACTATGACATTTCTTAGTCCTTTTTTTTTTTTTGGTAATGGGATTTTGATTTTTTTTGGTCCTGTTAAGACGCTTTTATTTGGAAGCCTGTTTCAATTATTTTCCTGTGTCCTCTCCCCTTCGGGGGGCACCTTGTCCTCTCTCTTGTTGCCTGTCTTATCCTTCTACGCTGAAGTTTGTTGTTGCCCTTTTGCACGACCAATAAAATAAGCCTCCGATGTAATTTATCCTTCATTCAGTTGTGCCTGTGGGAGGTAAAGCACTAGTGGATTTGGTTAAGGAAGTTCCATCGGAAAAGTATTAAAAAAAGTGGAATACTCATGTCTTAATTTTTATTTTTAACATGAAATATGCGTTCGTCTAAATGCTTTGCTTTTAATTTCTATTTTTGTAGTTTATTGGGAATAAATTAAACAGAGAGCGAACGCATTAGCTTATTTTATTTTATTTATTTTTTTACTGATTTAATAGAATGAGGTTCTTTGGCAGCTATTGAGTTTGGCTTTTTTTTTTTTTTTTTTTTTTTTTTTGGTTGCTTTAAAGGTCTTTGATGTTATAAAAAAGCAAGAGGAGACAAAGCAAGCAGAACTGGCTGCAAAGGTTGCAGAGTTTAAACAAATGCAAGCTCAGCATGAAATTGTAAGTAGATCCTGAATTCAGATAACTATAGCCTCCACTTGAATTTGTGGCTCAGTAAATATCTATCATCACAACTGATTTTTCAACGTCTACTTCCTGCACATAACAGTGTGATTGTACTGGCTGGAATTAGAGTACCGCAATGCATATTTTGTCTTTGTATGACCATAAAATTTACTGAGCATGCATTTTGTTAGAGATTAATTGGTTAGGCTACAAGTTGTAATATTCTCTTTACTGAACAGTTGTGGCCCCTTTATAAGCCGTTATACTCTCTTCTGTACCTTGTGTTTAAAACCCTAACTGGTTGTTTTATACACCTTGTTTCCTAACTCGTCATGTTGTTACTTATAACTGCTGTATGCCTTTTAAATTCATGGTCTAAAGCTGTTAATTCTGAATTCAAGATCATAGTCATTGAGTGACTTGTGAGCTTTCTTTAATTTTATAGCTTAATCAAGCTTACACCTGAGAAGCACTCAGTTTTTCAGTTTTTGATAGTTTCAACTTCTAGGTTGATCTAGACTCTTGTTTTAATGTATTAAATTCATATTCTGTTTTGAAAATCTAGATAATAGCTAGCTGAAGTTAGTTGGTGGTGGTTCTCATGGCTCTTTCCAATAAGGGATGTATTTTTAACATAGCTCGCTGAAGTTAGTCAGTGGTGGTTCTCATGGCTCTTTCCAATAAGGGAGGTATTTTTATTGTATACAATTAAATATTTTGTGTTCTAAGAACAACTTAGTTGAGGGGAAGTATTGGCGTCTTAGCTGAGATTTTATTACCGTGAACTTGGGGAACAGGGTGTGGGTTTACTTTGACTTAAGAGTCATTGCATCCTATTTGGTCCCTATTAATGGAGCTCAATCTGAATCTCTTATATGCGACTCCTTAAGTGTCATGCATGCATGAAACTTATGTTTGCTTAGGATGTTGTGGGTATTACTTGTGTTCTTCCTTCTGGCATATCAATTGTTTGATAAATTATGCCTACTTTGCTTGGCAGGAAAGACAAAGGATTATATATGATGAACAAAAAAAGCTTGCTCAGCATCAGGCACAAACAAAATCCCAAATGGCTCGCTATGAGGATGAATTGGCAAGGAAGAGGATGCAGGTATTCTACCTTTTGACTTTGGTGTTTAATTCTGCAATTTTATGGAATGATTCTCATTGCTGTGTTGTTATCAGGCAGAAAATGAATACCAGAGAGCCAGGAACCAAGAACTAGTAAAACTGCAAGAAGAATCATCAATTAGACAGGAGCAAGCTCGGCGTGCAACAGAGGAACAGATTCAAGCGCAACGTAGACAAACAGAGCGAGAGAAAGCTGATATTGAACGGAAACAATCAGAGTAAGGGCTATGGCAGAAGCAGAGGGAAGAGCCCATGAAGCAAAGCTAGCTGAAGAGGTTAATAGGCGAATGCAATTTGATCGTGCTAATGCAGAGAGAGAGAAATGGGTGGCTGCCATAAATACTACTTTTGAACATATTGGAGGTATATCTACCAGATGCACTTTGTGTAACACACAAGTAACTAAATCATTAGGCTTTGGATATGTAACAGACAAGTAACTAAATCACTAGGCTTTGGACTGAGGCCCGACCTTTTATTTCCTTGCATATAGATATATTTATGGGTTGTTGGCATTTTGCTTTCTGCTTTGAGCTGTGTTTTAATTGGTTTGTTCAGATGAACTGCATAAGATTCTCTCTAGTGAACAAATTCTTATCTATATTTTGCAGGGGGCTTAAGAGCCATTCTAACAGATCAAAATAAGTTGGTCGTGGCAGTTGGTGGAGTGACGGCTCTGGCTGCAGGAATCTATACCACTAGGTATAAACTATTCAGCTAAGAGATGGCTTTCTGAAAGTAACTTCAAAGTTTAGGTTTACCTTTCTAAGATTATGTTTGGCATGCATTGCACTTAGGACCGTCAAACAAGCCAGCTTGCCCTTGCCACTGATGATCTTGGTCTCACATGAGCCAAGAATGTGAAATCCAAATCAGATGTGCATGCGTTCAAGGTTCTTTTACATAGTTTATAAATATATTAGAGGAATGAAAAATTTCGCTAATAAAGTAACATTGCCAGCTAGCTAAATTGCCTGAACTGAAAAATTACTGCACTTGTTGGGCCATGGTTTTTGGTTCTGAACCTACATAACTTATGGGTCTATTGTTTACACTATTGCCCTTCAGCTCAAGCAATAATTGGTAATTATCAATATTTTTCACTGTTCCCTTTTGTTTTATTGGTATTCTTTAACTTAGCATGAATCCACTCCTATTTAGCTTGACTAATGGGTTTTTCTGGCCAGTACACTTTGGATAAGGCATCAGAGTCACTATTGCTTGGCTGATCATCAGATCACGTTTGAAATGTGACTTGTGTTATCTTGCCACTCTTCCCCCCCCCCCCCCAAAATGTACTTTGCTGATTTACGAGAGGATGATTTTCCACTGCCAAGTAGCTTTCCTTGACGAATGCCAAGTGCAGAGAGGAAAAAGGGAACTTGTCATTTTTAGCTACTGCTTACTGCAATACTTGGGTTCCTTGGAATTGATGTGGTTCAACTTTACGGTATCTAGCTGATATAATCTTCTCTTCATGAACTAAATCCTGAAATTTATGGGTTCAAGGACAATATTCTGCAGCTTTTCACATTTTTAGGGTTTTCAACTTTAAGTATCGCCTGTGTATTTATGTCTCATGAAATATGTTTTGCTTTATTGTCAGTTGACTTTTGAGGTATAAATTTTTCAAGTTGCTATCAGCAAAGATGTGTCTTATGCAAGTCTCTCTTTGGTCCAACACAGGGAAGGTGCGCGTGTTATATGGGGATATGTGGATAGAATATTGGGGCAGCCATCATTGATCCGAGAATCCTCGAGGGGAAAATATCCCTGGTCAGGCATTTTTTCTCGTTTCAGGAGTACCCTAACTCGTGCAGATTCTGGATCTGCATCAAAAAATGGAAATGGATTTGGTGATGTAGTTTTACATCCTGCTCTTGAGAAAAGAATTGAGCAGCTGTCATCTGCAACTGCAAATACAAAAGCACATCAGGCGCCATTTAGAAACATGCTTTTTTATGGACCTCCAGGAACAGGGAAAACAATGGCTGCTAGAGAGTTAGCTCGTAAATCTGTATGATATTGTACTTTTATCATTTTAGTTTTCAGTTATTACACACTATTCACTTTGATGATAGATGAGTTGGATAAATTGTGGGGAACATAATACTTGACAGGGTAGGTTAAATTTTATGGCGTATATTTCTTCAATAGTGTACAAGCTACACCAGGGCTATAACTAATTCATCCAGAGTTATGTTACATTTTGAATCAGTTGTCTTTTTATTTTTTATTTTTGGTATAAATCGTGAATTACTGAATCCCATCTGTTTATGCAGGGATTAGACTATGCATTGATGACTGGAGGAGATGTTGCTCCACTGGGATCACAGGCTGTTACAAAGATTCATCAGTTGTTTGATTGGGCTAAAAAATCTAAAAAGGGTTTGTTACTTTTCATCGATGAAGCTGATGCATTTCTGTGCGAGTAAGCAATGCTTCTACTCTAATTGCTCGTTTACGTTGAATGTGCTTTTGTTAATTCTTTTCTCAGTTGCTCTTCTCCTAAAGTCCAATCTGTTTTATCAGTGTCAAGCATGAAAACATTTTTTTTTTTTTACGCCAGACATCCTGTAAATTTATTTCAATCAGAGTTCCGGTTCCGTTTTGCTTGAATCTTCCCTTTAACCAATGAAACCATCAAACTTGTTTTTCGCAGGAATTGCTCTTGTGCCCAAACAATGACTGGTTTGGTCCGCAGAGCTATGCTACTATTTGTGAGCGCCTTACTTATACCTTCCCATTTCCCGCCCTTTTTCAATCCTAAACCATAAGCTGATATCCGTCAGGGATCTTAATGCTTGATACCTGTGTATAGTAGTACTTGCACTGGATGATAAGCTGCGACATTTTAAAGAATGCCGCCTTCAAATATAATCTATGATATATAAGCTGCAAAGAATTGTTCTTGCGTGTTCAATTCCTCGGAATCAAGGATCTCTTATTTAAATTGCGTTCACAACCTGATTTCCCTGTAGATATTTTGTCTTGTTTTGTCTAGATCAGATTGATGCTACATGATATTAAGCAAAATATCTGAGTCTAAATTAATTCAAATCATGATGTTGATTGCATTGGGTGAACTTTGCAGGCGGAACAAGACTTATATGAGTGAAGCTCAGAGGAGTGCACTGAATGCGCTGCTCTTTCGCACGGGGGATCAGTCTAAAGACATAGTCCTTGCTCTTGCCACAAACCGTCCTGGTGATCTTGATTCAGCTGTGGCAGATCGAATTGACGAGGTTCTTGAATTCCCCTTGCCTGGGGAAGATGAGCGCTTCAAACTCCTTAAACTCTATCTCGATAAGTACATAGTCCATGCTGGATCAGAAAAACCTGGGCTTCAAAATTTGTTTAAAAGGAAACCGCAGCAGATAGAGATCAAGGGATTGACTGACGACATCATAAGAGAAGCTGCTGCGAAAACTGAAGGATTTTCCGGAAGAGAAATAGCGAAACTAATGGCAAGTGTCCAAGCTGCAGTGTACGGGGGTGAGAACTGTGTGCTTGATCCAACTGTGTTTCGTGAAGTTGTAGATTATAAAGTTGCAGAGCATCAACAGAGAAGAAAATTGGCTGCTGCGGATAAAGTTAGTGCATGAGGATTTTTGCAGGTAGGTACAACCAGAGAATTTTTATCTGTTTTTGTTTGATAAACCACAAGGCTGGCCTGTTACATTTTATCCTGGGCATGCTGTTATTCATTATTTGTCCCGGATTGATGGGGGGATTTTGGAAACATATCAGGTGCTAATAATTATGATTTAATATCCGCATCCGCAAGCCTAATAGCATATTTAGGCTTCACTGTAACCTGTAGAGCATACCTCCCCCCCCCCCCAATTTTTTTATCAAAAAATTATTGATATAATTGAAATGTGTCGATGCATAATGTTGAGGGGCAGTTTCCTGCATTACCTTCATTTTTTTTTCTTTTTTAAATAAATTATGTCCATTGCCACCATTAGCGAAACTCTCTTCCATGCTTATTATTGGGTAATAAGCCGAGTGATAATCAACAAAATGAGAAAACATAAAGCATGACATTCTGGGGAGAAAAGGAGGAATTAACAAAACAGTTTTGGTTTAATGTTTTTAGAGTAGTTCTAGTCTTTTAAAATAAGTTTTGAAAAGGAAAAAAAAATGCTTGGATAACTGTTCTCAAAAAATTGCATTTGAAAACGAAAGAGCATAAAAATAAATTTGTCTTGAACGATTGTTTTTAAAAATCAACTTAAAGAACTAATTTGTATATAACAAGAAAAAACTTGAAGAGCTGGTAGAAGGTAAGAGACGGGCCGGAGACCGCAATGACGGACATCGACCAACGCAATGACTGGGGGGGGGGGGGAGCATGTTTGCAAGTCAAAAAGAAGTTCAGAACAGGAAAAAAAAAACAAAGAAAAAGAAAAAGAAAGCATTATTTTTGAGTTTTTTGTTTTCAAAAATATCATTTTTATTTTTTTATTGTCGACGCTAAAAAGGCTTGCTTCATTTTTCAAGCCCCAACCACCACATTGATAACAAGTATTTGTTTTTAATGTTTTTGTTTGGAACCAGGCCCAAAAATCCTGTGTATTCTGAAGGAGTCTCTTCGAAATTATTGATGTACATTATCTTTAATATAAAAACTAACTGATTAATTTAAGTAAAGATAGAAAATTAGTTAAGTTAGTTATTTATAATAAATAAATATTGTCTTTTTAAAAATATCTTTACTAATCAAATGTATTAGTTAGAACTATCATTGTTACAAGGATTATCTTGAAAAAAAAAAGATGAATATGATAGACAAAATAAATTGGAATATTATACTTAGAATCAAAATAAAAATCAAACAAATTTTTATATATTAAGGACCGGAGCTAATATTATGATAGAAATATCCGGGTATCGAGGTGAACTGGGCTCATTCCCTGCAAAATCCGCAACTTCCTAGACAAACGTTGATTGAAATGTCTTAGCTTCTTGCCACCTTCATTGCACAAATATTGAAATATGATAAGGGATCCCCCAGGTCCGTGGGAAGTGGCTGAAATGATAATGTGGAGGAAATTTTTCAAGACTGTAGGGAGTAGGGACCCAAAAATTGAAAATGCCACATAGGCTTTCAACATGTATTCTGAATAAAATCTCTAAAGGACATCAAGTGTATAAATACAAAATGATCTAGACAGATATATGGATTCATTTCCACCAAAAATGCCTAAATAAAGGAAATCTACAATTTGCAATTAAAATTGAAAGAAAACTAAAAATCCACACACTGGCAAATAAATTATAGAGCAATTTTTGAAAGAAAATTGAACATCCTAAAATATCTGCACTCATCACTCTAAATAAAATTTCCAAAGGGCAAATGATCCAACATGTTCTATGGATTCATTTCCATTGAAAATGGTTAAATAAAGTAAACATGCAACGTAAAAACAAGGATTTAGGATGAAGGAGCTTCCATGTGGATTGTGCCAACTGATACCAAGCTTTCTGCATAATTCCAAATCTGAGTTCTAATAGGACATTTGCCGATGGCCAACTTCTTGAATTCATTAGAATGGAATTGCACACAACAGGTTTTTTTCCATCACGATAGGGGTGGAAACAGACCAGGCTTTGCTTTTAACAGGCCAGGCCTGTTTTGGAGCCTATTGGCCTGAGCCTGGCCTGTGGCCTGTTACAGGCTTACTTTTCAGCCTGAACCTGGCCTGTATAAAGGCCTGACCTGGCCTGTATAAAGGCCTGGCCTGGCCTGAAGCCTGTTAAAAGGCCTGTATTTTCAAAAAATTCAAATTATAATAATTAATTTTTAAAAAAAGCTAAGATAAAAAAAACGTACATAATAATTTAATTTTTAGTCTTGTCTTTTATTTAAATTTTAGTATCATAAGTACTATTTTAAATCTTAATTATAATTTATAGGAATATTATTGAAAACTAATTGTAATTATATGTTAAAATTTGGAATAAGACTACGTTTAAGTATACACAAAAAATTAAAATTAAGACAAATAAATAAAGAGAAAAAAAAATACTAATTTTATAATGAATAAAGAGGGTATCATACTTAAATTAACATAATACGTAAGTTAGTTAATTTATCATTCTTGGAACAAAATTTGTCTTTCCTATTTTCTTTATATTTTTAAGATTTAAAAATCACATTATTTATTAATATTATTATTTTAAATTATATTTTTATCTTCACTTGTCATCTAAACTTCAAAATCTAAGAAAAGATTAAGCTATTAACTATATATTAAAATTAAAAAATAAATTAAAAGAGTACATTAACAATAATAGCATTAATTAATTTTTTCATATATTATTATTATAAATTCCTGACAGGCCCAGGCCGGCCTAACAGGCTTAACAGGCTTTTTAAAAAGCCTAAGCCTGGCCTGTTTAACTAAACAGGCCTTCAAACAGGCCTGAGCCTGTCTTTTTTGGGAAACAGGCCAGGCCAGGCCAGGCCAAATGCAGGCCAGGCCATAAGCCCCTGACAGGCCGCCTGGCCTGTTTCCACCCCTACATCACGATCACCTGCACCATTAGTTTCATCAAATTTGCGAAAAAAAATCATTTCCCCACATAGTCAGTGGGTGTAAACATGCAGGATAGAGCTTGCTTTTACTTATTTTAGTCCCAATCCATCTCTCACGGTATAAGAAAAAAATTCATATCATCTGCCCCATGGTGATCGATGAGTCAAGGAAAAGGCTTCGCAATCAACGAAGATTAGGGACCAGAAGATATATTGTTAAAAAAAGATAACATTTAAAACAAAAATTAATGGGTTTGTTACCTTTTCTTGGAAAAATCAGATGCATAATGAAGACAGGAAAAAAATTGAATATGATCTATCCAAATTAATTTTGAATGATTTATATTCAATTTAAAATTTTTCATGTTATAAACAATTTTTTATTTTAAATAATACAGAATTTAAAATGAAAATCATCTTAAAATGACTAAACTATACATTTAATCCTTTAATTTTAAATGATCTCAATTTGGTCTTTAAAAAGTATATTTTTAGTCATTTAACCCTAAAAGTGTTAACAAAAAATGATGACATTGAGATGTTAAATGTTGATAAAACATTCTCAAATACTAGTCTATTAATTTTCAAAACAACTATTATTATTACAAAAAGTACGTCATTTAAGCATAATGATTTTAGTATTAAATGGCCTAAAACATGCTTTTTAAAGTTAAAGAACTAAATTGAAACTTAATATAAAATTAAAAGACCTGATGCATATTTTAACCTCTTATAATTAACACTTCTTTTAAAAATAAATTTATCATTGAAATTTTTTTTACTATATTAAAAATTTAGGTGGATTGAGTTTCCAAAGCTAACCAGAACAAGCATATGCTTTTAGGCTGAAAGAATATTAATAAAGGTAGTTAAAAATTCTTATCAAGTTCTTGTATTAGTAGTGAGATTCGAATTCATAATTTTATGAATTATAGGCTCCAAATTAAAAATTTTAAACCTATACTGTCCAAATGAAATTCTAGATGGTGCAGATTTTTCTTTGTTGTCCAATTCAAATTTTAGATGGTGGAGATTTCACTACGGTTATTACTGTTGAGGCCGAGAACTGAATAAGGATTAAAGAAAGCACGGCTGATTTTGGCATTGGAAAAAAAAAAAAAGGAACCCAAAGAGATGAAGCATTCCATCTCAAAATCAGTTGATCCCTAGTTTTTGGGATACGATGGGAGTTTCACAGTGGAATTATATTTTTTTTTCTAAATTCACATGGTATACAAATAAGGTAAAAACATATATATAACTTAGACATGTATACTCTATATTACTTTTTTTTTTGTAGGTTAAGAGATTTTCTTATTGGAGATAATCCTGTTCGAGGTACTGTTAGTTATAGAATGTGAGTACTTCTTCCAGTAGAAATTTAAACTTTAATTCATCATATTATAAGAGACTAGTTTTTTTCTGTTAAATCTAATTTTATTGGTTTTTATATTACTATTCATACAAACAGTAGCAGCCTAATTTACCATTTGGTCTTAGCATGTCGGGCTCCGTGCTAAAATCCTGTCTCAAAAGTAAGAGAGAGCAAACCAACTTCTATGACGTAAGAGTGTACCTACTAATTTTAATCTTTTCTCTATTCAAATTCAAAATTCAAAGTTCAAATTCTATGATTTTAATGATGTCGATCAGATCATCCCGGGTTTTGTTTTTCTTCCAACTATACCAAAATATAGAAATGGCAGCAATTTCATTTTCATCTCTTTACTTTGTTTTTGTTTTTTGGGCTGGGGGATGTTCTATTGTTTACCTTTTGCTAAGTTTTTTTTTGCCATGAAACTAAGGTAAATGATATAGACTTATAGTTTTAGCAGTCAATAAAGTTTTAGTTGTGTCTAAAAACAAGATAAATTTTTCTAGTTATAGATAAAACTATGCTGAAAAAAGATACTGACATTAATATTTAACTTGGGTTTGCTAAGTTTTCAATCAAATATTTCATGTTATCTTATTTCATATTGATATGTAACACTAAATGTTTCATTCTAAAAGTAATTTGCACATATATATAAATTGTATTGAATTGATTTGTTAGAGTTATTATAATGAAAGGAAACTACTGATTACATTTTAAGTAAATAATCACAATATCATTATTTATTTATAAATTGTAATATTGTTGTGCTGACACTATAGAGTCACAAGGATTTCATAATAAAATAAATTCTACTCATACACGGCACAAGAAAGTCCATGCTAATTGTAAAGGTAGAAGCATTATAATATAGTAGTATTAAATGTGTTCTGTAAATCTATTTTCATATATGGAATGAAAAACTAATTTATCTATAGCTCCGGAAGGAAAATTTGTCATTTAGTATCCATTT